AGTCGGAATCAACTTGATGGCCTTGTGTTTGGTTTTTTTGGTTTGGTATGTTATTGTTAGGTGCTGCGGAGTCGATTTTCTACTCATAGCAACCCCATGTGACAGAGTAGAACTGCCCCATGGGTTTTCAAGGCTGTAGTCTTTACAGGAGCAGATCATCAGGTCTTTCTCTCGCTGAGTTACTTGGTGGGTGTGAACTGCCAACCATTTGGTTAACATCTAAGTGTTTAATCATAATGAAGAGCAGTAAATCATTCTTATCTTAATTATCCTGACTGGCTCTCTGGAAATTCCCAGCTTCATTTATTTCAATTTGGTTTTGTAAATCCAAAGACAATGATATGTATTGCTGGCTCTAAATTTATCTGAAGTATGTGCAAGATAGAAAAATTATGGAGTGCAACTTTTTTTTTCTTTCAAAATTAGGATTGTTTTTCTATTTCTTGGTATGACATATATTATTTTTTCTTCTTTCAGAGCTATGTATGTCCTTAGCTTAGATTTTCCTGTATTGAGAAAAATTATGAAAACACTACAAGTTAATGTGAGATTTGAAAAAACGATGCCATGCTAATTCAGCATCATAAGAGCATCGATTTTTGTCCTTTGATAAGATGAATAAAATTATGCAGTGTCCAAGTTTATAAATTACTGTTATAATCTTTCTGATTTTTTTTTTTTCGTATGCCCTCTTTCTTCTTTTCTCATTTCTTGGTTGAATCAGAGAATTCAAATAAATTAATGGTAGAGGGATATTCTAGATGATTTTTGCTCAAGTATCTCAGTTTACAGTCAAGTACACAGTCTCAGAGGTAGGAGGTTATACAGCTAAATAGCTACAGAACTGGTACTAGGACATAGCTATGACAGGCTCATGCTATTTCCTACATAGTGTTTTGCTTTCTTAATTTGACTTGCTTTCCCTTATCCAAAATGCAGAGTTTTGTAGGCTATCAGTCTCTCTTGGTGACAAAAGCAGTGATTTTTATAATAGACCTTGGACATTGCTAACTGGTTCTCTTGTCAGAGTAGACCACAGTATATATGTTTATGGAAATGAGGGAGTGACTGGAAGGAAGATGAAAATATTGTTGGAAGAAATTCTGTCCTGTTATCTGAAAGAATAAGACAGGTGTACTTTGTTTCTTTGGATAGTTAGCTCACTCCGCTGCTTGCCATATAAAAAACCCACTGCCGTTGAGTCCATTTCGACTCATAGCAACCCTATAGGACAGAGTAGAACTGCTCCCTAGGGTTTCCAGGGAGCGGCTAGTGGATTTGAACTACCAACCTTTTGGTTAGCAGCCAAGCTCTTAACTACTGTGCCACCAGGGCTCCGCTTGCCATATAGAATAGGTCAAATAAGCACTCATAATTAAATATGAATAATGTACAAAGTTAACCCTTCCGGTCGAGTCAATTCTGACTCACAGCGACCCTGTAGGACCGAGTAGAACTGCCCCATAGCGTTTCCAGGGAGCACCTGGTGGATTCGAACTGCTGACCTTTTGGTTAGCAGCCGAGCTCTTAACCACTGTGCCACCAGGGCTCCAATGTATAAAGTTACTTGTATTCAATTAGGAGTGCTTATTCGATCTGTTCTGGTGGCCTAGTGCTTAAGAGCTTGGCTACTAACCATAAGGTTGGCAGTTCAAATCCACCAGCTGCTCCTTGGAAACCTTATTGGGCAGTTCTATTCTGTCCTATAAGGTCGCTATGAGTCAGAATTGACTAGACAGCAACAGGTTTTGTTTTTGGTTCCGAATGTATAAAGTACTCTTGTAAAGTTATGCTTGAGGGATGCCTAATGCTTTTGTCTTGAGGTAGAAATACTTAGTATATGAGCTTTGCATTGCCTCCCCGATGTCATGCACTGAGGCAAATATAGCACACGATGTGCTTTCATTTCTGTCTTCAGAGAGCCCTATCTCACAGTTAAAACCCAAACCAACAAATCCATTGCTGTTGAGTAGATTCCAACCATTTGGCTGTTCTTTAAAAGCCATTCAGTGAGGTCATCAGACAGTGTCCCATCCATCCTTCTACGTTGTATTTGTATGTAAATCCTCAATATTTCCTTCTCCAAATATCAGTGGGACAGTAAGTCATCCAAAACAACTTTGTAACTTTTCTTATAGTGGATTGTCTAGATACAGAAAACTGTTAGTCTGAGGTCCTCAGCATCCACAGCCCCCGATGGTGCTTATGTGGGCATTAATGCTGTGGGTCAGCGCTGTGCCAGGCTCACTGTGGGTTAAGGGGGGCAGCAGAGGTGGGAGAGAGCTTTGGAATCTGGATTTTGAAAGTTTGAGTTGATTCCTGCTCTTATGTTTACTGGCTGTGTGCTTAGAACCTATTTTTTTCTTTTGGTAAAAATGAAGATTGTCCCGAGGATAAACTGAGATAATAAATGAGAAGGCAATTTACAAATTGTAAAGTGCATCTGAAATGTGCATCATCGTTATGCCATTCATACATATATATGAAGGGATAGATCATTGCAAATCCTCAGCAATCCCCTATTTTCAAAGAAAGCCCCAGCATTAGGGCTGAGGCTGACTTCGGTCACCTTTGTGTCGGTGAAGTAGACAGGTTTGGGGTGCTGTGAGTCAGTGTTGTGGGTAACAGACGGGTCACCCTTGCAGAATATGCCCTTCGTGGTACCCTATGACCACATCGGTGAGCCTTGAGATGCCCTGGGCACTGTGCTCTTCCAAGCCATTTCATTTTTCACCTACCTTGAAAAGCAGGATTTTTCTTCTTGACAAGCATGCCAGGCTGGCACTCAGGGCAGGGTCAGGCTCCCCAGAAACCGCCTGGCTCTGCTTCCCTTCAGGTAGATAGATGTAGCTGAAATGTTCCTTTCATTAGTCTCTGTCGGATACAATTTTCCAAATAGGCACTGACCGCCAGCTCATACACTGATGGGTTTTCTTGTCTTCTGGGCCTTGCTGGGATGAACAGTGTCTAGAGCTGAATCTGTGGGGTTGTGCGCCCTTGATTGCTTCACCCTAATTGGTGTGTTTAAATACATTTAGTGTAAGAAATGATTTGAGGGTTTGCTAGAAACCTTCCTTGTCACTTTTTCTCTGTCAAGGTTTTTAATGTTCATTATCTTGAGGAAAGAAAAAGAGGTGCTACTTTTCATCTCATTGTGGAATAGGGCAGATGGTTTTAAGTCGTGCAGCTTATTTTCAGAAAATGCCAGGCAGGGTGATCTGCCTGTCCCTCCCCCTGTGTTACTGCACGTAAGGAGCACCTTCTGTAGTTAGACAACTTGAAATATCCAGCGGGCACAGTGTCTGTGCTTGACCTCATTCCTATTCTGGTTTATATGCTTTTAGATTTTCTTTTCTAAGGCAGTGAAAGGCTTCCTTTGTTCTGTCTACAGATGTATAGCCCTATAGTAGCTTGATATCCAGGCAGATGGTTAAAGGCTTGCTTGCCTGCTTGTCTGGCAAGTATGGACATTTCTTGAATTTATTAACTTCTAACAACTGCTAATAGTCCTGATAGTATACCTGTTAACCCTCGAGTCGATTCCGACTCATAGCTACCCTACGGGACAGAGTAGAACTGCCCCATAGGGTTTCCAAGGAGCGGCTGGTAGATTCAGACTGCTGACCTTTTGGTTAGCAACTGAGCTCTTAACCACTGTGCCACTATGGGCTATATACTCAATTTGGGGCTGTTGAGTTGACTTGACTAATTCTCTCTACTTTGTTTCCCCCGCTCCCCACAAAGTGTTCCCTCTCCTTTCAATGTGTTTTATATTTTCCTATTATCCATTCATCTGTTGAACGCTGAGCTGAATCCAACAGCTGAATCCGCTCCAGACCATCCGTTGGTTAAATATCTTCCTCCTCTGCCAAAGAGGTTAAGGCTTAGGATGAACATGAGGCCATTCATAGTCACTAAGAGATCGGCACCCATTGAGCACCAATGAATACCACCACCGAGGTACTCTTTTGCTGCAGAATCAAGGGGTAGGAGCACTTGCAAATTTATATAGCAATTATTGGAGTAAGTCTCAATAAAAAAGAATTAGAAACGGGGTGCCTGCGTTTGCATTGTCTCTGGGCACAGAAAGTAAGCTGGCTGCGGAGAGCTCTGTCATGTGGTCGAAAGAGAATGCACTGGTTTTGAGCTGGATCGAAAGCTCAGTTCTTCCACCAGGCATCTGTGGTCATTGTGTACAAACCTCATCTCCCTGAGCCTTGGTTTCAGTAGCGTGAGAATAACAGTGCTTGCTTCCCATGGTTATTGTGAGAGTTATGGGAAGAAACCATGTTTGTGGAAAATGGTTTGTAACTATCAAAAAGTTTCAAAGATTTCTTTTCCTCCTCTATTATATAAAAACCTTAGGGTAGAAAACCAAAACCTGTTTCCATTGAGTTGATTCCAATTCACAGGGACCCTATAGGACAGAGTAGAACTGCCCTACAGGGTTTCCAAGGAGCGGCAGGTGGATTTGAACTGCCGACCTTTTGGTTAGCAGCCAAGGTCTTAACCATTGTGCCACCAGGGCTCCAACCTTAAGGCAGAAAAAGAAAAAAAAAAAAAAAACCATTCCCGTCAATTTTGACTTATAGCGATACTATAGGACAGAGTAGACCCAGCCCTTAGGGTTTCCAAGGAGCGACTGGTGGATTCGAACTGCTAACCTTTTAGTTAGCAGCCAAGCTCTTAACCACTGTACCACCAGGCTAGGTACCTGTAAACATGGTACCCTCAAATAAGGCTGACATTCTAATAAATGGGAAATAGTCTGATTTTTAAAGATCTCAGAAAGGAAATTGAACGGACTTCCTAAGGGGTCCTGTCTAGTACTGAGGCTGGAAAATCTTTATTGACTTGAGCCTGAGCCATCTGTGGACAGACAGTAACTTACTTCCTCTTGATCGGTGCCCTTTATGAAAAGTAAAGGATGCAGAATAAATTTTTATACAGATGTGTTTTGGCTGAGTTTTTAAAATTTCAAACTATCTTTTGTCTTTCAGAAGGTACACGGACACTGAAAAACACCCACGAAGAAAGAAGAAAGTAAGTCATTTTTTTAAGGAAAAGAACTACAACCGTTAGTATTGATTTTGGATGTCTTTCGGCAGTCACAGGGACACCATGATATGCTGAGGGATCCAAAGCTGAAGAACAGAGCTTCTTGGGCACAGTGTTAGGTGTGAGGTTTATAAAAATGAGTAAGATCCAGTCCTATGAATGAGATGAGCTTATACTTGGAGCCCAGAATCTAGAAGTAAGAGGCACGCTGAGGTTTTTGTAATACAACATGTTAAGTGCAATGACCATCAGGGGAAAAACTGAGAGAAGAGTGGCAAGGGTGGGAGTGGGCTGCTGAGAGGAGTTGGAAGGAGGGTAGTTTAGGCAGATACGACATCTTGAGTAAGACAAGTGAGAAACAGTTTAGGGTGTGTGTGTGTGCAGTTTGATATTGCAACATATAGCTTGAGAAAGAATGTCAAGGAAGTGGCAGGATACAAGACTAGAAAGGTAGGAAGAAGCCAGACCTTGGAGGGCCTTACCAGTTCTTTAACATGCTTCTATGCCAAGGCAGGAACCCTGGTGGCACAGGAGCCCTCAGCTGCTAACCCAAAGGTCAGCAGTTGTAATCCACCAGCCAATCCTTGGAAACCCTACGGGGCAGTTCTGCTCTGTCTTGAAGATCGCTATGAGTTGGAATCTATTCAATGACAGTGGGTTTTATCCCAAGTCATGACATAAAACTGTATTTTAGTGGTTTATTTTTTAAAAAACTTACATCATTGGCCAGGATCAGTAGTAAAAAATAAATAATAGTGGTGATAGTGAACATCATTGTTTGTTTCGAACATTAATCGGCATGCCTCTAATGTTTTACTCGTAACTATGAGGATTTTTTGTGTGCTTGTTTGGAACATTTGGTACATATTTGGTGCGTTTTTTGGTGCACTTTGTTCTATTCTTCAAGTTAAGGAGGTTGTCCTCTGTAATTTCTATAGATTTTTTTCATTAATAATGAAAGGAATTATATTTTTCTGTTCTAGTGAGATGGTGTAGATAAAATGTTCCCCCCCCCATTTTATATGGTTAATGGGGTAGTGAATTACATTGATTTTCTAATGTTTAATTATAATTACATTCAAGGGATAAACCTCACTTAATTGTGACATAGTTTAAAATAAACTTTTGATTAATTCGGCTAAATTTTACATAGGATTTTCGCTTCCTTGTTTTAAAGTAAGATTGACTTGTAATTTTCCTTTATTATGTTGTCCTTGTATCTGTTTGCAGTCAAGCTTATTTTAGGCCAATAAATAAATTTTGGAGTGAAACTTTTCTCTTTTTCTAGTCTATGGAAGCAGTTATATATCACAGATATTATCTAGTTCATAATTTTTTGGTTAAACCCATTTGTCAAACTTCTTGGCTTGGGTTTTTGGGGCGATAGGTGGGAGGATGAGACACATAGTCTATTTTAATACACCTGGCTATTATTTTTATTTACTTTATTGTAATTTTTCTGAATTGACACGTGTTTTTGTACCTTCTGGAGCTGAATGATCAGCTTATATATTTTCAATTTTTTTTCCTAAGAAGTTCATTTTAATATTATTTGTTGTATGAAGAGTGACGATCACTGGGAATACAAAAGTGATAGACATGGTTGCTACCTTCGGGTATGCTCAGTGTAGTTGGGATAGACAAACGTGCAAGCTCATTTCAAGATAAGAAGTGAGTCAAATGTATAGAAGAGTGCCATATAAGAGGGGGAGTAATTGTGGATATTGACAAACAAAGCTTCCTACAAGATGAGATTCTCTAGTCATAAAACGTGAGTACATTTGCCTGAGTAATTCAGGGAAGGGGACACATATTTCAGGTAGAGGAAGCAGCCTGTGCAAATGCGCAAACGTGTGAGGTAGATTTTCTTCCGTGATTCTAGTCTTACAGTGTTTTGTCTCTACTGCCTCCACAAGGTTTTCCATTACTGTGTGGCCAGCATTACACTGGACGCTGGATTTTTTTTTTTTTTTTAATTGTACTTCAGGTGAAGGCTTACAAGGATGCTGGATTTTGAATGATAACTGCTATTCAGGATGAATGGTACAACCTTGAGATTCTTGTATGTTAGTCACTTTGGAAGCGTTTGAGCACACAGATAAAGGAATAGGTTTACTGAGCCAGTAATTTCGTTTTACCATTATATTTTTTTGCTATGTACTCATTTGATTATATTATTATTTTGAGTTTGGTTCCTTATGAAAAAAAAAACAAAACCAAACTCATTGCCATGGAGTCGATTCCGACTCATAGCGACCTGAAAGGACAGAGTTGAACTGCCCCATAGAGTTTCCAAGGAGCACTTGGTGGATTCGAACTGCCAGCCTTTTGGTTAGCAGCCATAGCACTTAACCACTACGCCACCAGGGTTTCCTTGGTTTCCTATAGGTAGGGATTTAATTTTCATTTTCTTTTTTTAAATTCTCCTTCTTCTGGGTCTAAAATTTGAGGCATGTTTTTTCTGATGTTGTCTACATTTCTTTTTCTTCTCTCTTCTGAAATCTATCATTGAAAAGTTAATGGGTTTTGATAATTATAGTTAACATTTAGCAACCTTAAGCAGGATGATCACAAAGCATGGCATAAACTAGAATGCAAAAAAATGTGTTATGTAACGAACATTAAATGTCTCGTTGAAAACTATCCATAAAGTAGATAAGACAGGAGCATACAGCAGAATAGCACATCACATTTTGTCCTGGAAAATGGAAAGTCCTAGAAGAAAACAAAAGACATTGGTTTTAACAAAGGTTGATATAAAATCTCTGCATTAGTTGTAAAATGCCTATCAACCGTGTTTTACATTATTTGTTCTCCCTTGTGTAAAGGTCTATATAAGTTTATTTTAGAACTTAATACTTCGGAGCCCTGGTGATGCAGTGGTTAAGAGCTTGGCTGCTGACCAAAAAGTCGGCAGCTCAAATCCACCAGCTGCTCCTTAGAAACCCTATGGGGCAGCTCTACTCTGTCCTACAGGGTCGCTATGAGTTGGAATCGATTCGACCGCAACAGGTAATACTAAACGATCGTTGCTTCTTCTGAGGAGTGGTATGTTTCTGAGCATGACAACTATTTCACATGTAGGACTTCCTTCTCTGGTTACAGGAGGACGGATTTTATGTGTAATCACAGTCCCAACAGCTATACGATAATTCTTTATTTTCTTGTTCCAGATTTCCCATTTATAACTTATTAAAATTGTTTAATTTTCTGTGTGAATCACTTCACTATTTTTTTGGAAAGAGGAGAGGGAATTAAAAAATGAACACGAGAAAGTCAGGAATGTCCTTTCATGGGATAAAGTTCCATGAAATATGCAGGGCTGTTGGGGACCCTTGGTGGTCTGAGCATTCTAAGGCTGTGTCAGGCAGTCAAAGTGTCAACCTTCCATAAGATTGGGCGCTGAATTTTCTTTTAAATTTGTAAAGTTGTTTTTTATGTACCCAGCATACAAACAGGTGCAGTGGTTAAACGCTCAGCTGCTAACCGGAAGATCAGCGGTTCAAACCCACCAGCCGCTCTCAAGGAGAAAGATATGGCAGTCTGCTTCTGTAAAGATTTTATGAGTCGAAATCTACTCGACCACAGAGCAGAGAATCTTTTTCAATCTTTCAATGAACATAGCACAAATACAACATAGAGCTTTTGACCCATAGAATATCAGACTCAAAGGTGGCATTCACAGATTCATCCAGTAATCCAGTAAACCTTTATCAGATATTTGCTGTGTGCTAAGCCTGAGGAATCAATTGCTGGAGATAGGCGTCATGCTTAGTAAAGTAGAGGGTCAGTGAAAAAGAGGAAGACCCTCGACACAGTGGCTGCAACAATAGGCTCAAGCTTAGCAACGATCATGAAGATGGCACAGGACCGGGCAGTGTTCGACCTGATGGCACCTAACAACAACAACAAGCTCTGAGTGTTGCAAACAGTTAGCATGTTCAGCTGCTAACAGAAATGGAGATTCGAGTCCATCTAGAGGTGCCTTGGAAGAAAGGCTTTCAATCTACTTCCGAAAAATCAGCCATTGAAAACCCTATGGAGCTCAATTCTACTCAGACACACGTGAGGTTGCCGTGAGTTGGAATCAGCTTGATGACGACTGCTTTTTTTTAGCACTGTGCTAGTGCTGGAGGTACAAAGATGAGTTGAATGCTCTGCTAGTCTGTTGGGGAAGGCAGGCATGGCAGAGTGATAATAACAGTCCTCAGCCAGCCTTTCTCGCTCAATAATTTAAACCCTATTCACCATTTGAGCTCAAGCCTGGAAGATCTTCCTGATTCCACCAGCAATCAACCCCTCCCCACCCCTTCAGATTTAATAGATCAGCAGTACCTGTTCTATTCAATTGTTTAGCTTTCAAATCCATCTATGTCTCTCCACCAATACTGCCTAATACAGTCAAGAAAAAACACATAACTGTGGTTGGAAAGCAGGGTATCGGTGGGCAAGTCGTGAGAGAGGAGGTCCAAAAGCCAGGCAGGAGTCAGATGATGCGGAGCGAGATATTTCAGTCGAGAAGTGTAGATTCCTAGTGATTCAAATTTAAGCAAGGGAGTAAAATGAACAAATTTTCACTTGAGAATTGCCACGAGTGATGGAATAATATGGAGACTGAACATGGAGCAAGAACAGAGGTAGAGAGTCCAGTTCTGAGGCAACTGTAACATTCTTCCTAAAGTGACAGGGCATGGAGCAGAGGAGCTGGATCTAAGGGAAGCTGTACATCGTTGATTCCAAGAGGAGCGTTTTCCCCACAGCTTACATCTCTGAAATAGGATGCGTCTTACAACTGCTGGCATCTTACAGCTATCGATGGCAGCCATGTTGTAGTTGTTGTGGATGCCTTTGGTTGTAGTCGTTCGTATTACTGGCCCTTCAATTGAGATATATGCCTTGTCGGTACTAAACATGTTGAGTTTAAGTGTTTTCTAGAATGGCCTCAAAAAGATTTTGCTAAGGTTCAGAATCGGAAAATTATGATGTATA